GTACAAAGATAAATGTATCCGGGAGACTCTCAGATCAAACAGGGCCTAGTAGACAGTTTTATCATCTTCACCTTGGAGTGTTGCACTTTTCCTGGGGCTGGCGCCTGGAGATATCACCTCCCTGTAACTGAGTTACTGCTCTCCCTGGGGGCTGGCACCTGGAGATACTACGTGCCTGAAACTGGAGAATTTCTACTTTTACGGGAAAAGGAACTTTCATAACTGTTCTGAAAATGTATTGCATTTAAGTAAAAGTCTGTTGCAGCAAGATCTTATTGGAAACCCCAATTTAAAAAAAATCTGAAAACGGCTTTATTCACATCATATACACATGGTTTCCATTCCAATCTTTAGGGTTTTTTAAGACTTCTTCCTATAGCTCAGGGAAAAGGGTGGTTTAGTTAACCCTTCTCACTAGTAGTTGTCTTGGTCAGAGATATTTGGTCGCAAAGAACAGAAATTTTCTCAAACTATTTTAAGCAACACAAAAGGGCCGAGGGAATATGATATGGAGACACCTGGCCGAACCCCTGGGCAGCCACCCGGGCACACAGTCCAAGCCAGTGACATGCACAGGGAACTGCAATTTGTAAGCACTCCGATGGCTTTGGCTGTAGGCAATACTGTTTATAGTTACTGAGAAATATTAAGTGAACTTGTATATGTAATGCTTGGAATAGTGCCCGGCATACGGTAAGCCCTCACGTTGTGATCACTGCATTCCTTATTGAAAAAAGTAGTGCTAGGTCCTATTCTGTCCACACTGGTAGTTCAGGGAATCATAACGCTAAGTTATAGCTCTGGCCACAGCCCCATATCACGGCAACACGTGAGACCCCTTGCATGCCCGGAAAGGCTGCCACATCTTCTCGGCATTAGTATTCTAGGTTGACTGATAGTGATACATCCGTAAAACTTACAACCAGACTGGGTGGAGTTAGTTGAGTGAGCATGAGCACTAGTCGTAGATATAGGATTAATATACTGGGGTTTGGCTAACTTGCATGTAGCAAGGATGGGAAAGGCAGCACCTCTAGGGATGCCAATTACAGAAAAGAAGCTCCCCACTCCACAATCCCAGAATCTCAACTCCCAGTTCAGTGTGCTTTCCCTCTGCAGGGTGCATGCCGTCCCCTCCCCAACCCAGAGTCTCTTGACCTACTCGGCTGCCAGGGAAGAGAATACCCTTACCTACAATGGACCCACATAGACACCACCTAGAAGTTAAGTGGTGTGGTCATTGATCTTATTCCCATATAAAACGTGTGCATAAATAGGAAGCTTTAAATAAAAATTTTATGGTGAATAATCCTTTAATTTTAAAAGGCCTCTGATCAGTTTCTACTCATGTCAAAGCCAGTGGAATGAATGCCACATGGTTCCCTGTAGAGTCTCAGATCCCTTAAGCTTTGCCCAGTGTTCCGTGTAACCTGCATCCTTATGATAGCCCACTTTCTGCCACTTTATAAATGCTTGACCTCAAACCTCACAATTCTTTGAGGTAGGTGTAGGAAGCCAGAGCTCAGAGAGGTCCAAAACGCTTGTCCAGAGACATAGCCAATCAGTGGAAGACATGGGATCAAACTCAGGTTCCCAACTACAAAACCCATGCATGCCCTTAAGCACCGCTACGCCGCCGTGAAACACTGACAAGAAGCAGTGCTCCTTTGGGAACAGACCGTGGCAAACACAGAGTTTTAAATTATCTTGTTTCTCAAAAGGCCTAACTAGGTTTTGTGAAGCCCGGGTAACCTAACTGTCCAGTAAAATATAACTGTACTTAATGTTTTTTCTCAGAAAAGGCAGGAATTGATTTCTTCAAAGCAAAAAAGCACCAGGGTCATGTTCCAGGCTTTTTTCCAAGGTCAGACTGGTGTATGTTTGCTGTGGAATAGGCCGGGTGGCAGAGTGGCTGCCTTGGGAAGTTCAGTGTGAATCCTGGACTTGCCAACACGTTAATTACCTCAGTGACCTTCAGCGTTTCAGCTCACTTCTCCAAATGTCGTTTCCTCTTAAAGTGGGATGATAGTAGTACTGATGAAGACACATGTAAAACGTGGGGTGTAGAACCTCGCACCAGAAGGTACCCCTCATCACTAGTATCCCTAGTGATTGTCAGGTCAGTACCACCTCCCACCAGCTCTGTGCCTTCTCAGCACATTAAGAATCCCTTAGAACTGCTATTAGTTCCGATGTTTGCAAGCTAGCAACAAAAACCACCTGAGCTAGCAGACTTTGAACACAGATGAGGATGAGGGACTCACAGTGTGTGAGATAAATTATCTGGCCCTGCTGAAGCTGCAGACAAATAAAGCATGGTTCTTACTCAAGAGGCTCGAAGTCCAAAACACATAGGCTGGCCTTTATTTTGAGGATCACACTGTATGACGTAAGTTGCAGGGCCGACTGCAAGGACACGGGAATATACCCATACCTCGAAGCTCAGTACTTTTGAGAATAAGACAACGGGTCAGCATCCTTCAGGACATACTATGAGTTCTACTTACCCACCCACTTGGTGTACTGTGCACCCATAGCTCATCCCCGCAAAGAGATCCAATGGGGTTATTACCACCTAATAGTGAATTCAATTTGAACATTTCTGTAAAGCTATGCAAAGGCTACTGACTTTCTACTCATCTGGCCTTTGACGTATTGTTGCCTTTGGGTCCAGACACCCAATCCGTAGTCTATGGTATGAATCATAGCAACTTTCTTCAGAAAGAAACCTTGAAGCTTAAGGCCATTTGTACCTTTGCCGATTTCGACTTCCCGCAGACCTCTCCCCGTTTAGCGGCACCCAGTTTCTGCCTTAATTACCCTTTTTTCAATTTTCTCTGGCCCGAAAGTTGCACATGACCACTTTTAGTAGTCAGATGGCCTCATCCTGGAATCTCAATCTTGAGAGAGTTCCGGAACTGGCCAACATCTGGCTTTTTGCGGTCTGGTCGGATCCCCTTTTTAAACTGTCCCAAATTTCACTTTCTGCTGAAGGCAAAGTTGATTCTTGGTCCTAAGTAAAAAGCCCTACGTGAAATGAGTTGCTTTGCTCAGATGGTAGCTATGGGCACAGTTAGGCTGAAAAAGTCCTGCTAAGGAATTGTGACCATGTAAATCTTCACTTCTTTTAAAACGACTTTTTCTCTTTCTCCTCCACTCAAACAGGCCTTGGACTCACTTGCTTCTTCTCTTTCCTTATCTTTCTGCACATTGCAGGACCATTCTCTTAATCATTAAGCCCTTAGGTCGGCATTACTTTTAGGAACAAAGCCTCAGGTCTGTTGACCAGAGAAAAGTTTTGGTCAAACTAAAGAGAACATCCTGCAGCTTCACACCTATGAAAGTGGAATGATCTTACCAGCATCCCCCTGAAACCAGGTAGGACATGCCATGACTGACATCAGGACCTGATGATCAACTGCCTCCTAACCTAGTGCCGACCAATCAGTAGAGCCCACAACCCCAACTCCCTTAGAAACTAATGAGTGTTTCCATATATAACCTATTCCCTAGAGGCCATCAGAGACCTGGGTCTTTGAGCGCTAGCTCTGTTGTGTCTCCAGGCTTGGTACCATTTCCTTAAGTAAACCTCTACTTCCTTTGCTGCAAACTCCCGTCTCATGTCTCTTTTGGCTATTGACATGTGCAGGCAAATGAACCCCTTTGAGTTCGGTAACAGAAAGAGTCACACCTGGTATTTTGTCTTGGAACACAGAATTAAAGATGATGTAAAGACAAACGTTGAGCCAACAGGGAACACAGAGTACCAAGGTGATGCACTAGGTTTGGATGAGAAAGTCTTTATTTGTCTACAGCATCAACAGAAGAAAACTGGTACTGCTCAAGTTCTTTCCTGTCACGGGGCATGCTGCATATGCCATTATCCTCTTTGGCTAACGACCACACTCTAGCATTTGATTGGATTTTATTTTCAGAAAGGCATCATTCATTTCAGTTTGTCTGACAGATTACATAATCAAGGGCTTTTTTTTTTTTTTTTAAATGTTAATTAAGAAATCCCACTTTCATCTGCAGAAGTCAGGCTATTCTGTTAAATACTGCCAAGTATAAGAATACAAATGTCATTAAGTCTACAGGATCTTGAGACTTATTCACTAGCACCTACAAGAAAAAGGCAAAACTTTATCCTTCTGAAAAGGTGTATCACTTTTCAGGAAACCGGCTGAGGTTCTGAAAGCCCCAACATCTGCGATTATGCAAACAGATCTTATAAAGATATTTTACACAATCTGTTCTAAGTCCGCTAGGACTCGAGAGGATTGATGTCAGCACATAAAACACTTCCCTGCATACCTGTTTCTGTTTATGATGACATCTGGAGGTCCCAAACTGCATTAAAGCATTCCCTGTGAGAGACTGTTGAAAAGAACCCCCCTTGTCCCAGTCTTCCAAAAGTATCGATTATACTATTTAACTACATGCAAGAAGCAAGATAGGAAATAACAGGATTTCAGAGAAGTTAGTCAAGCTGTCACTGCAAAGAGCAGAGGAAGAAGCATGTAACCTAGCTCCAATCACATGTCATTTCCTTCATTCTTAAACTTCTTTTCTCAAACGGGCCTGCTCTGCAAACAGGACTGGTCTTCGGAGTTTCTTGAGTATCTCTCTTATCCATGTTGCTCAAGCTAGTTTTAATCTTTCCCATCAGGATCCAGTTGGAACATACAAAGCTTTTGGAACACAGCAGTAAAGGACGGACGTAAGGGATACACAGAAATAGGGAGTTGAGAAGCTCTCCGGGTACTGATTTAGAGAAAGAACTTCCAGAATGCTGCAAGCAGCTGAGTCAGCAGCAGAAACGTTTCCCCTGATGCACGCGCCCCATCATTTCTGTTACACAGGTTCTTCTGGCAGCAGTCGTACTCTAGTTTGTTCTCCCCTAAGGCCTTTGAAATGTATTCGAAATTGCAATTGTCAAACTTCCAGCACTGGTAATACGTTCGCTCTTCTGTGGGAGAAAGACACACACGAGGGTAAGCAAGCAAGTCGGTAAAAAGTTCTGTACCTGTCTTTGAACCCTCCATCCCACTTCTTAGAACTTATTTTGTGGAAGTAGAGATGCCTGGGCAAGAACGTGCACCCCAGTTGGGTTGTAAAGGGGAACAACCAGTTAGAACATGCCTTTATGGTCCCAATTTTTGCACATATAGGAAAATAAAGGCCAAAAAGTATATATGCCAAGTATCTTACAGTTTTTTTAAATTTAGAAAAATTATGTTAAGTGGAAAAAAATCTGTGTTAGTTGAGATAGAACAATTATGGTAGATTTCTCTTTTCAAACATAACTGTCTAAAAACCAGAGGAGAGAAGGAACAATTAGGGGGACTGTTTTTATAAACTATATAAATGTCTAACCAATGAACTGTATACTTGAAACTAAAAACAAAAACAAAAAAAACCCCAAAACTATCTATGTGCTAAGACTGTGCTCAATGCTCAGGATATACAAATATAGAAGGTATGGTCCTTGCCCTGGAATTAGTTTTTTTATCTTCTGTGCTGGAAAGAAAAAAATACGGATGCCCATTTCCTTAAGGCTTGTAACTAATTTATTCAATTTCGTTCATAGTTTGGAACAAAACTTATAAGCTTCTAACTATAGATATAACTGTCCCATCCGCCCTTCAGAGGGAATGAGTTTATGGGCTGGATTTTAATGAAGTTTAGTCAAGTGGCACAGGCCATATTGAGTGTTCCAATGGCTCTACATACTTGGGTCGTAAGCATTAAAGTGGCTGCTTCTCTAACACTGTACTAGAGGATGCTGTTGAGCAGGACAAGTTACTGCTTTGTGTAACGGTCAGCAGGCATTGGATCTGGGAGAACAATAAAGCTACCAGAATTTTCATCAGGGAAGCCTAACAACCTGCAGAGAGCAGACAGTAATGTATTAATAACTGCTACCAATTCATCACTTACTATGTGTCTTGCAGTGAGCCAAGAACTTTACTTGAATTATTTTATTTGCATAATCCCTTATGATGGTGAACTTCTCACCAGAACCACTCACATAAAAGTGGATTGTATCAGTCACTGGAATATTAGAGGTTCTCTCTCTGCTTGGCACATCCTCCCCATCTTGGAAGATTTGCCTTGAGTCTACCCTCACCAGGCAAGTCCACAGTTGTCCTAGACACCCCTAAGTGCGTCCCTTATTCAGAAGGCCATTACAGCAATGATCACTTGGCACTGTCATCAGAGGCTCCTGCCAGACTCTACATGATTTATACTGCCAGGACCTGGCCAGGATGCCAGTAAATAGTGGCTGAATTAATACCCAATGCCTGTCTCTCTTCTAGACTTAATCTGCACAGCACTATCATACCCATTTTCTCCTCTAAGTGCTCCACTGACCCCAAGAGATAAGTATTCCCATGTTACAGCTGGGGGGGAAATGTGGCTCGAATAGCAAAAGGACTTCTCTAACGTCGTGCCTGGCCTTCGGCCCAGTGTGCCCTGCCTCTCCCAGGCTGCTGTTTCCAGAGCTGGAGGGGGATTTAGATGCTCTGTCAGTATCTGCCTTACTGTGAGGTCAGAATATCTGTATTTCAAAAACTGCTTTTATCACATGTCTAGCTTAAGTTTTGGGAGTTTATTTATCTATTCATCTACTGAAGGACATCTTGGTTGCTTCCAAGTTTTGGGATTTATAATAAACCTGTCATAAACATTCATGTGCAGATTGTCGTATGCATATAAGTTTTCATCTCATTTGGGTAAGTAACAATGAATGCAATTGCTGACTTGTACAGTTAGAGGGTTTAGTTTTTTGAGAAACCACCCAAGTGACTAGACTATACCATTTACCATTCTCGCCAGCAATGAATGAGGGCTCCTATTGTTCTACATTCTTGGCAGCATTTAGTGGTGTCAGCGTTTTGGACTTTGACCATTCTAGTAAGTGTGCAAAATTGTTTACATTAAGCATTTAAAAAAACTTAACCATTCATTCATTGTACGATGAGTAAGTTCTGGGAACCTACTGTACAGTGTGGTGACTAGTTAGTAATACTGTACTGTATACTTGAAATTTGTTAAGAGAATAGATCTTAAGTGTTCTAATTACACAAAAAGGTAACTATGTGAGATGACAGATGTGTTAGATAGTGGTAATCTTTTCATAATATATATCAAATCATCACATTGTTCACCTTAAATATATACAATTTTTGTCAATTATACTTCAATAAAGATGGAAAAAATTAAAAGTCTAGTAATTCAGATAAGAAACAATGGGCTTTGAGACCTGGAAAAAAGATATTGGCTCTATCTAAATTCCCTCTCCTTCCCACCTCTACCCATCCAACTCTTACATTTCATAAGTAAAAAACGGAAGCCGAAATAAGTTAACTGATGGCAGGACAGAGATCAGAGCTTAGAGTTCTTAATTGCTAATTCTACACGTAATATTGCCTTTATTCTCTTATTTGCAAATTACACTTTTTGTAGTGAGGGTCCAAATGACACAGGCCATCCAGGTTAAGAACCAGGTCTCTGCGCATATATAACTGGTGCGCAAGTATTTGTGGCGTGAGTGACTATGTTCCCTCTAGAGGCCTCACGATGCTTTCTGTATTTACAATGAATTAATAGGGTGCTCCAGAGGCAGAGGGACTGTCCACTTATGCAGTCAAGTTCCTTGCATAGAGGGCTTGAAATCTGAGCTGCATTCCAAGAATTTATATCAAAATCATCAGACACGTCTGTTTTTTAAGACAAGGTAATTCTAATCTGTCCTTAGTTATTGAGGGATTCCTCTTTTCCTAGGAAATTAATCTTTTCCTTTCTGTCAGGTTTTTCTGAATCTGTGGGTCTCCCAAGCCTTTCATGAATTTACCTGACCTGTTCAGCATTCCCTGATGTTCCCACCATGAAAAGTTTATAGTAGAGGATGTAAGAGTGAAATAACCTTGAAGGGGGATTTTATTTTTATCTCTTAGAGATGTAAGTCTGCGGGGCGGGGAGGGGTGGGAGGAGGCATTACCTTATACGTTATCTAACCATGAAGACCCTAAAATAACCATTCCTCACCAGTATCATTTCCACATATCGATGCAATCCAGAACCAAATCCAACAAGAACAGAGGGCATCCCTTTGCTGGTTTCTTTCCTCTGTCCATTTCCTAAATCCTATTTGAACAGGGTTTATGGAGACTGAACTTCTAGAGTCTAACCAATATGGGAAATGCAGTTTGACAGGACTTGTCAATGCAATATTAGCAGTCCCCCATCCCATGCCCATGAGTGCCCTGCTCTGAGGCCACCAAATCTTGGTTCCTGCTTTCGCCACTCTCAGGAATACTCTTCCCCTCCTTGTCCTTTGAGCTCTGCTTACAGGACTGTTATGTGCTAAATACCCCATGGAATGAGAGGTATAAATAAAGATATTTGCGACAGCTAAATAGGCCTCTATCATAATTCTGTCTCCTTTCTTCCTTTTTGCATCCCTGGCCCTAGCTCAGGCTCTGACACACTTTGGCTCTTAAAAGTTGGGGAGGCAGCCAGTGTTGCTGTTAAGAGAATAAGCACTGGAATTAGATGAATGACAGTATTCAGATCCTGGGTTGATTACTTGACCTTTGTCTGTTGCTTAATATGAGCCTCAGTTTCCTCATTTATCAAACAAGAATAAAATAATACCCTGAGTGGTAGCTGAGAAGCATGAAATTAAAACGTATGTATGGGAAGTGCTTAGTGCTACGTGTCACTGGTGCTACTACATGGTAGCTATCACTTGTTGAATACAAGTCTAACAAGAATTAGAGTGGCACAATTTTTTTTCCAGGCTCTCATCATCCCGTTACAATTGGGAGAGAGGGAAGAGGGAGGCTCTTACCGGCTTTGACGTAGAGACACGCATCCAAATTTCGTGAACAATTGATGGCTGCAGTGCAGTTTTTGAGTGGGTTAAGACAGCTATAACACTCCAGGCCATGACCTAGAATCAGGAAGAAAACTCATAAGAATCTGGTAGAAGAGCACTGCCTTGCCCTCCTGGCAGCAGAAGAAAGCCCACCATCTCCATCACGATGGGGCAGAGGTCAGCAACTCAGCTTGCTTCCATCCCCACACAAATCTGTAGCAGATTTACTTTTTCAAGCTCAAAATACAATTCCAGCAGCATTTTGGGGGCCCTGATGCAAGTACAAAAGGAATTTCCATACTTAAAAGTCCATGTTAGCTGTACCGTCGAGAAGCTTCCTATTCCCTTCAACAGGAAGTGATTAATCTACAATGTAATGATATATTAAAAAAGAATTCCATCTTCTCATTAGATTTGTATTATAATCGTACTCAGTTATTACATTTTGAATTCTGTCAAAAGTTTGTAGAAATTTGTTTTCTCTTGTTATTTATGTAAAAGTCTACGTAAAATGCTTGATTTTGTCTCTTGGCCTGCAAAGCCTCAAATATTTACTCTTCGGCCCTCTATAGAACTAGTCCGATAACGCTGGTGTAGGGTGTCATCACTGAAGCTGATTCCTGAGGAGGGACTTGCCCACAGCCAGAAGCATAGACGATGATCAAGGGAAAGACAGCAGCTGTACGCCTTAAACTCAGGGCAGTGGGACAGCCAGGCATAAGCAGTGACACTGAGAACAGGAGTCAGCGTACATCAGACGCAAATTGCCTCCGGTTTGAAAAATGACTCTTGCTCCCATGTACATTCTTAAGGATCGATCATCTTTGCTAGCGAGACGAGGTCTTGCTGGATTATTTTCCCTTCTCCATATCAATGGTGATAAGAAAAAGATCGGCCATATTCCACATTTGTGCTGGGGAGAGGCTGAGAAGTAAGAGGTGCAAGAAAATTTGCCTAATTCATGCAGATATAATACCCTTTTCTATAATAAGACATGACTTTCTTCCTGCTATATGCTGTCTGCCATGTAATGAGTATTTGCCACGCCTGGGGCAGGCCTCCATGATCCCGTTCTTTCTCTCCTCCCCAGTATCGGTGTTTGTCATGCCTGTGTGCGGAGGGAGCCGCAATAAGGGACAAAGATGCAATTTTTCTAGTCTCCTTCCGGCTCCAGATTTGTGTATACTCATGAGAGGAAAGAATTGTTTTAGCCTGGCTATTCGAAAAGGTTGCCCACAGGAGTGAATTTTCTCCTGGCTAGAGCTAGAGTTCATTTGGCTTCTTGACAAACCCTTAGACAGAAGAACCAAAGCTCGCATTTGGAACTACAGTGGGGCAGGGACATTCAGAGATAATACATTCATTCAGTGTTTAAATATCTGTGCGAAGCTCTCCATCTTCACAGACTTATTATAAGAGGTAGGCTCAATGATCTCCACTGCCATTTTTCAAGAGAAAACTAAGACTAAGACATTAACTAACTTGTCCAAGGTCACACAGCAACTAAGTGAGAGACCAGGGACTCAAACCCAGGCCATCAGTTCTGAAACCCAAGCTTGGTTTAACCACGACGTTCTTCTAATCATCCTGAGTAGGAATTAGAAGGAAACAGCACAAATTGTGGGTGGGACCCACGCCGGGGACAAGCAATAAATCAGCAGACAACTATTCAATATTCTATCTGCTAAGCCAGGGTATGGAGTATCTGCCTCAAATGCCGACTCTCTGAGGAATGGCTTAAGTGCACCCTGAGATCTGTCACAGAACAGCTGATGGCCCCAAACCCAAGCCTGCTCCGTAAACAGACTGTTGGAAAGTGGGCATGACCAGGCTATTCTTACTCCAGAAAAAACTAGGTAGCAGAATTCAGATGGTAATGTAGTGTCTTAACATAGCTTAACCTCACTGTAACCTATCCTGGCTCGAATTAGAGGATGTAGGGGAGAAGTAGAATCGTGACTACTTTTTTTTTTCTCTCAGAAAGGGAGAGCATATTCCAATGTGTCCTTGAGCTAGTTTCTTCTTTGCTTCAGTTTCAAGTATAAAATGGGTATAACAACACTGACTAACCCCTCACGGAATGACCAGGAGGATTACATGAGACAGGGTTTGATGCGGCCCCTAGTATGTAACAGGCATTCAATATGTGGTAGCTACTGAAGTTACTGATACACGACATGTGTCAACATAGCAGATTTCTTGGTTTTTTTTTGCTCATTGCCTTGCTACTTCTTTTTCTGCTCCCCCTCCCCCCCAAAAACGAGTAGTACCTACATGACACAATAGAAAATGACATTTGTTCCTTATGATGAAGTAAATCAAGTCACACAGGTGTTTTTAGTGTTACAGAGGTTAGGACTGAGGAATACACAGGTACTTCCAGCAGCCAGGGAGGGGTGGCATGGAGGAGGAGGAGGAGGTAAGAGTGGACGTTCTGGTGCCAGGCTGTCTGGGTTCAAATTCTAGCTGTACCACTTCTGTGGGATATTTTATAAGTTATTTCATCTCTTTGGGCCTCAGTCTTGTCATTTGTAAAATGGCGATAAAAACAGCACCTACTCCACAGGGCAGACATGAGAATTAAATATAAGTAAATACCTGTGAAATGCTCAGAATAGCAACCGGCAGGTAAATGCTGTAAGCATTAGCTGCTACTGCTGTTACTGTATCTTCACCCTCATCACAACACAGGAGAAGCCCCAGGGCAAAGGGTTTGAGTTCGGCGCTGTAAAGATGGTGTCCACTGGTAACCCAGCAGCTTGTGGTGAGGGGGTGAAACTTAAGCTGCTGGGTGCACCCCCCTCCAACCCTCCCCGCAAAAGCAGCTCTGTAACCCAGGACAGGCCGTATGTAACTCAGGAAGGTGTTCCCCTGAGGGTGAGGCCCTAACGTAGGAAGGAGTTGTCACACAACCCTGGACCTGTAATACTGGAAGGCAAAAGAACTAAGGCCAGGCTGAGGACAGTGGCATCAGCTCTGTCTCCTTGAGGCCTAAGAAATAGGAAGCGCATGGCCAAGGAGGCCTCTATGGTCCAATCCACATCCTTCAGACACTCACTTGAATGGTAGAGGGCAAACAGGATGAGCAGGAGCCCGAGCAAGACAAATCCTCCTTTGCTTCCCATTGTGACTGTCTATAGAATCTGAAAGGATAACACACAAAGAATTGTCACAAACCAATAAATGACTGCTGGTTATCCCAGAAACCAAGAGTTAGAAGGCCTAGAGAGCTTCTGGAGACCTGGGGAAGGAGCTAGCAGACCAAAAAAGCAGGGGAAGCCTACCAGGCTGGGGTGCCATAAACGGAGGCATGCTCTCGGTGGGGCAGCGCTTGGTCCCCTCTCCTGCCCCAAGACCTCAGCTTACTGAAGAAATGCTGTGCATACTGGTGAGAGGGGCAGCTTTAGGGAGACAAAGCACACCAGGCCTGGCGTCGGGAATGCCTGGGCCTGCCCCGGCTTTCACCGACAGCAGCCATGGGGCCTTTAATAAACTCCATGCGCCAGACCTCAGTGTTCACCAGCATGCAGTGGATACAGCACTTCCTTCCTCACAAGGGTTGTTTAATCAAGTACGAGTAAAGTACTTAACACTGCTGGCTGAGCTGGCACCCAGTGAAGGCCACTTCTCCAGGCCACACCACTAAGTGCATCAGACTAAAAGAGCGACTCTGGAGGGCACCAACATGCATTTAGCAGCAGAACAGGAGGCAAAGGCTCAGCATGCCTGGAAGATCTGGCTCTCTACCTGAGCAAGAATGATGGGAAACAGTGAAAGGCTCCAGGCTTCTGGGTTTTATCTCAGTCAAGTCTGTCTTATTCCCAGCGCCTTCAGGCTAATAGCTTCCTCTTAGTCTTGCACATAACATGCTAATCATTAGAGGAAATGTGCTTTGGCTTGAGTTTTACAAAAACAGCTGCTCCCATTTCCCCCTTCCACTGAAGTACATGAAGCCGGAACTCCGTCCTTTGTTAAGATAGATTTGAGGAACCACTAGGTCTTCCATCTTCTTGGCTGATACATTCTAGATCGATAAGCCTTTCCTTACTCCACATCTGACATTTTGGATTTTGGCATTTCGAAGTGTCGGGCACATGGACCAGTAACAGGGACACATCCTTGTTCACTCTGGGAAGTATAGAGGGGTTCTGGGTAACTTTGATGACTAGTCCCCATTACAGTCAAGCCTAAAAGCGTAGCAGTGAGCGTCAAAACCTCTTTTCGTATGCAAGAAAGCCAAGGCAGAGAGGTTTTTGATTGTCCAAACCATGAATAGCAGATATAAGAAATTTCCAACCCCACTCCTGCTTCCCTGAGCCCATCTTGACAGCTCCTCTAACCCAGGGGGATCCACTTTCTATCCTCCTGAGTCCCATAGGCCAGGACTTATGCCTGGCAGGCAGCCGGGGCGTTGGGTAAGGCCCCATCCACCTCTAGGCTAGGAATGACATCTCTCACATCTTTGCAGGTCATCTGCTGCTCAGGAATTGCCTGATGAAGGTCAGGAAAAGGTTGAAAAGCAGAAAGGGCAAGAGTTTGATAAAATAATTAGGGGCCTCTTTTAAGGGCCCATGTAACTATACACTGGGCTGTCTGTCACTGAATGCCAACCATTTAGCAAGCTCTCCTCTCTATACTCACTTCTGTTTTGTTAGCAAATACTAGGGCCAGTTGCTAGGTGCTCTTGACATGTTAACTGTGTGTTTAAGCCTCACACAATGCTGTAATATCCACCTCCACTTATAAGAAAACTGAGAGTCGAGGAGGGTAACTAATTTACACAACTATGGAAGATAGAATAAATAATGCCTCTCTTCCCCAAAGATGTCCCCGTTCTAATTCCAGATACCTGTGAATACAGGTAACCTTATATGGCAAGTGACTTTCTAGATGAGATTAAGGCTAGAGATTATTCTGCATTATCCAGTGGGCCCAATGTAATCACCTAGGTGACTACTTTTAAGAGAGAGGGGGAGGTGGCAGTCCGTCAGACAGCTGTGCAAACAGAAAAGGCAAGAGATTCAGAGCAAGATGAACTCTGCCCATTATGGATTTTGAAGAGAGAGGAAGGGGGCCACAGCCAAAGCAAACGTGTGGCCTCTACAAGCTAAGAACTGTCCTGAACAGACGCTCAGTCTGGAAATGAGACTTCAGTCCTCCAATCGCAAGGACTGTATTGTGCCAATAATCCAGATGAGGAAGGAAATGGATTTTCCCACAGTTCCAGAAAGGAGCTGAGCCCTGTCAACAACTTGACTTGAACCTGGTGAGGGCTTGTCAGAGTTCTGACTTACAGAACTATAAGATTAATAAATTTATGTTGTGTTAAGCTGCTAGATTTTGGTGATTTGTTTCAGCATCAATAGAAAACTAATACACTAGCCTCAGAACCGGTATATGGTAGAGCAACATGTAAACCCAGGTCTGAGCATTTAACTGTTGTGAAAGTCTCTGGTGGGGAAGACTTATGAATTCAGCTTCTGAAATAAATTCATTAAGCTTAGGCCTCCAGAGAAGAGATTTTCCATCAGGAGATTCACTGATGCCCATGAGTATAATTACTGCTCCTGGGAGCCTGGGACCTTACAGGCTGTCGAACATTAAGGCTAGAAGTGTCCTCAAAGGTAAAACCCAAAGTTCTTATTTTATAGGAAATTAATGGAGGCCCTAGGGGATGAAGTTACCTGTCCTGCCGCAACAGAATAGTTGCAGAGCCACCCTGGGTGGATCAGGCTGCTGTACTCACCAGGGACATCACCAGGTAGCTAGTAGTGTCAAGAGCCTACAACTTTGCCTTATCACCTCATAATACAGTGCCTGGGGCAGCCAAGCAGGCCTAGACAGAGATCAGTTACTCAGTCCAGAGAAGTTAATTACAACATCAGTAGAGAGACAAACAGCAGAGTCACGTCATAAAGAACAGCCCCTCTCACTTTGAGGTCCCACTGCTGGAGATAGCCACCTCAGAACTCTCTAAACCACACAAACTTGCCAAGTTCTTAGTTTTCCTGAGGGCCTCTTATCAGAGAGACCCAAGTGGCAACCCCACCCTTGGAAAAGTAAACCCACAGAGCCCATATTTCCCAAAGATATGAGGCATAGGTAGAAGCAAGTCTTCCCCTTGGAAATTCCACTGCACCCCTGGGTGTATTTTTTTTTTTTTTTTTGTGGCTGAGATTCAAGAGCTGCCCCAGAATTTTTAATGTGCTCCTTTTTAAGAGCTTATATTTGCAGCTGTCAAAGATGAATTCCATTAGATACCCACTCTCCTCACTCTAAAATCCATTTTATTTGGGTTTTTATCTTCCAAGCCACTCAGCCTACTGGGATGTTTTCTCATGGGAAGGTTCATTCCAGCAAACAGCGTCCTGCTTTTACTTTGAAAATACAGAAGACACAAATCTCAGGCATGTCTGGTCCACAGTGAGGCAACTCCCGATTATCTGCTTTGGAGCTAGAAATTTCTCAGCATTCTGGGAAATGTTGCCACCTCCCTCAAAATTAACATTCTGAGCCCTGTGTGCCTGCTCTGGGGAACTGGGAGGAAACTGTCCCCAGTCGGGAACATGAACAAGGTGGGAATACCTGAAATAATAACAGCCAACATTTGCTCTCCACATACCAGGCGCCAAACTGAGTCATTTCCATGAATTATATCAGCGATGTAAGGTCTATGATTTTACTGATAATAGTTACATTAAACTGCTAATTCAGGATTACTCTGCCAGTACACAGCAGAGCCAAAATCCAAAACCCGCTCTGATGCCAAAGTGCGGGCCCTTAGCCATTAACTGTGACACACGAACTCGATGATCAGGAAATGCGAATTCACCACTTCAGGTATGCCGAGCTTCAAACTGTGTTGATTCTAAGTGGATTCCAGAGCCACCTCACCAACAGATAGATTAAGCTACATAGGGTAGGGCACCACAGTGGGAAGAGGTGTTTCCGTGATCTGGGATTCTTGGAATTGAATACAAGTCATATCTGGGTTCTCCCTCCTGTGTGTGAGGGCTCTCCTCTTTCAAAAAGGGTCTATCTTCACAAGCTGACAATATAGTGTGGGCCATGTCTCTAAGCCTGTAAAATTTATGGGCTGATTTGTTTAGAATGAAGTAGAATTACTGCAGTTGAGAGAGGTGGATAGCCAATTCTCAGCTGAGGCCCCCTAATCTCTTTAGGAAGTCACCGCTAAATAAGATGATTTTAAAGAGAATCAGTTGGTCACAGCAGGAGGTACATTCAAGATGGACATGGGGTATTTATAGGAAGGAAAATAAGCAATGATCAAAAGAAAAACCCGAGGAAGCTGCCTGAGCGAGAGACTTCACAAGGTGGCAACCAGATCAAACTACTATTTCACAAAGAACCTGGAAGACAGACTCTAGTTTCAGAAGTAACAAATACTGTCATGGTGAGTCAGATCCCAGCTCTTCTCACTGTGGGTTGCAGTCTATAGTCATTTTCCTGGCACTGTTCAGATGTGTCAGAGCAGAAATGGAACATGTGAGCTGCCACATTTCCAGACTTTCCCTTAAACAGCCATTCAAATCATAAAAGTCGGCTGTCTAATCCTAAGAACGGCGCGGCCCAAGCCGGCCCATGTAAACAAAACCTCACACCAAACTTGGACGTAAAACGTCTGTTTCAGCCCTTCCCTGTTCATTAAAATCTGACATTTAGTCCTCTAGGTAAGAGAAGCATGCCTGTGACCACTTAGGGATGGCATGAACCGCCTTTTAAGGCGCGATTTCTTTTCTCTAAATCGCAAGAGCTTCCTTTCAGAGAAAGGTGAAGGCGGGTGGTCTGGGTTCGAGGAAAATATTCCCGAGGGAATGGAGAGCAAGGCCCGCGGAATTTGGCGTGTTTCGGAGAGAGTGCCCTCTCCCTCCTTTTCCTTTGTTGTGAACAAAAAGAGCCAGTGCTCTGACGGGCTCTCAGGGGAGCTTGAAGCCTGCGACCAGAGGCCTCTGGTGCGGGGACTCCCGCCAGGCCGCGGGCCCAAGGGCAGGGCGACGGGATGCCGTCCCGGGGTACAGGAAAAAGCTGGAGCCGTCCTCCGGATCGGAGGCTGGCGCAGGGTGGGGCGCAGCCTGCCCGGACTCCCCGAGCCCACTGCCCGAGGGCGCGCGCGCCAGCAAAGATCCACAGCCGCCGCGGGCCCGATGCGCGACTCCACCCAACCCCTCCGCCCTAGTCTTACCTGACAGCGCCCAAGGCCCGGCTTCCAGCAATTCATAAAAATCAGCCCTCCCTTTATAGACTGGGCGCCGGCGGGCTCCGCCTCCTCCCGCTGGCCCCACCATGCCTGGGCTCCCGCCTCCTCCTGAGCGCCGCAGTCCGCGAGCCCAAGGTCGTGGGTATGAGTGAAGGCTCCGGATCCCTGGTGGTCACCGCGCGGGTCCAGAGCACCCTAGGAGCTGGGTAGACACTGCGCACAAGGGACTCGGGCTCCCGGGCTAGGTTCAGAAAAAGACTCGTGGCCAGGGCTAAATTAAGACCTTTAAAACCCAGGAAATGGAGTTTATGGTGTTTTCCTCCGATTTGTAACCGAAAACAAAACAAATATAAAACTCCAAGTTTATGATTTTCCCCTTTAAAAAAAGCTACATTAAAATGATTTTCAAAACGATTTTCTGCCCACGCCGCGCCTCCACTGGTCTCAGCTGTTGATTTTATCCAGCCCTGCTCAGCCAGCCTGAGCTCCTCTCTGCTCTCATCTCTGAAGCCCACAAATAAACTTCAGCCACACCCATGCCTTGTGACTTGTTTGGAACAAACCTGTTTAAAAGCTTACATTGGCCAGTCTGGGACAAGAACCACCACATAGAACGTTATTTTTACGTGATGATGTAATCTGAAGTTTCTATTTATTGCTTGGAAAGTGTCCTACCCGCTGCAGAACTGGCCTTGAGTGCCATAGAAGGGAGAGTGGAGAATAGGCGAAAAGTACATCTTTCTCTAGAAGATTGACCTCTGCTGGTGACCATGAGACACTCTTGGAGGATCCGGGTAGGAACGTATAGTATCTCAGGAACGTATAGTATCTCAAGACTGCTTAGCTAAATCCGAAGGGGAATAAGACGTGAGCTAAAATTCAAGCAGGGCAAATCGTAAGATAGCTGATCATGACGAGCCTTCTACCAAGATTCTCTGATGGCTTAGGGATGTCAGGAAATGAGTTTCATTTGGTGTGTCTGCTTAAATCAGCTAATCTATGTATTTCCAATGACATTTTTACGAAGCTCTTTCAGATGCATTATCTTATATGCAACCTATTAGCCGTTCCTTCCTTGGAACTCTCTTGGATTCTGAGATGCCACTCTCTCCTCGTTTTGCTTCCAGTCCCTTGACCTTTCAGTCTAAGATTCTTTTCCACTACTCGCCCATAATCTGATGTTGCCAGGGTTGGACCGAGAACCATTGCTATATATGCTCTCTGGGAGACTACAGTGCACCCGCTTATTTTACCTTGGAGATATATGTTTGCAGAAGATTTGCAAATATTCCCCAGTCCTGATTACTCCCACATCCAGCTGCTTGCTGGACATCTCCACCTACATGTCCCACATCTTGAACTCAAAATGTGTCCCAATCTGAACTCACCTCTGTTACACTGCTTTCCCTGCAATTTTTTCATTTATCAAGCCAGAAACCTGGGAATCAACTTTGATTTCCACTTCCTCGCATCTAATCAACAACTCTTACCTACTTCTTCATCAGTTGTATGTTCCATCCTCTCTACTCTTGCTTCTGCCCCAATTCAGGCCTGTAGCATGTCTTATTCGGGCCATTACGATTCCTTCATACCAGGTCTCCATGCTGCATATGTTAATTCCTGCATTCCTCACCCCTTCTCTACCTATCCTCCTGCTGGAGACCTGGCTGTTTTACCTCTACAGCCTTATGTTTGACATTTTGCTTTCCATTTAATGTTTCCCTTCTTTCTTCAGCCTTCCTGGAACACAGTATGACTGCAGCTGCTATCTTACAACCTTGAAGACTAAAGTCTTGTGCTAAGGATGACAGAACAGAAAGATGGAAGGAATCTGGAATGTTGTTGACATCACTGGGTAAACACATCAGCCCTGAATTAATTACCTCTGACTTTTCACAAGAGGAAGAAGCCCCTAAGTTGCCCAACCTTCTATTTATGTCTTGTCTTGATACATCAAACTTTAGTCAAATGAATAGATGGTATTCTCAAGGGACCTCGGAGGCAGAAATATTTAACCACTGACCTCGAGTTTTTTCACCAGAAGCACAGTCTGACCAACTGTTAGATCCTTTTTACGTATGAATACATTTTTGCCAATGAAATAAAAAATCTGAACTTGTTATCAACTAATCAATCATACCTTAGTATGAACTAGAGGCCATTCATTCAACACACTAAGAGAATGTGAATTTTGATAAGGAAGCCTGAAGCACTCTGAGAAACAAGGATTGGTTGAGGTTACAGGGGAAATTTGGGGCATCATCAGTACTCTGGGAACAGAGAGAGGAGAGGTCATCCAGAAAAGATGCAAAGAATGGCAAGGGATCCTTGGGCCAGCTTTAACTTCCAGCGTTAACTAGTTTTAAATTACTGCTTTATCAGGAAAGTTTTTTTTAAAAAGTCAGTTGGTTGATTAAAAAGGAGACAGGCATAATAGAAGCATTTGGTAGCCTGACAATACTATATTAAAAAAAATAAGAAATTACTTACTCCATTTCAGAACATTTTGATATGTGCCAATATGAAAGAGTAAGTTTGACTTCCTGGTCCCTAATGGCAGTTGCTTTACTGTGTACCCACCTCCCTATTCCTAGTTTTCCGTACAGAAGAACTGTTCTTGGGAGAAATGGAAGGTGGAGCACATGTCAGGGTATAGTAAAAGCCATAGTGACTTTTTTTTTTTCATAAAGTGACTTTGAATGGGCCTCTGGCAACAGGCCAACAAGTATCCATCTAAAGAGGAAAGGCTTATACTAAATGTTAATTTATGGAAAACAGGCAATTACACAAAATGCAGCATCAGAACCAAAAATTGTTTTTAAAATGTGAGTTTTTGACACTTGGAGGATTTCATTCCAAATTCTCAATTATATAATTACCAAAAAAATCCGTATTTCAGGAAAACATACTTAATATTAACATAAAATTCATATCACTTATCACAAAGTTAGACAGTCAAGTGTATAAAGGAGAAACAAAACAAGCAGTATTTACAAATTTAGACTACACGAGACAATGTGAAGAATTCTTTGTTAATAAACAACACAATACATACTTTTACACACTACATTTCAAAAATGATGCATCTGTGAACAATACAATAAAAGTCATAGTGATGAAGACTTTAAGTTAAATTCAAGGTTGTGGTGTTGAAGACTTGAAAGTAAATTCAAGGTTGGTAGAGTTGAAGACTAAATTCAAAGTCAAGGTCATACTGATTGAGGCTTTAAATTGAAGGTTGTAGCGATGAAAACTTTAAGTTTAAGGACAGATTGTCTAAGAAAGGACAAAACAACTAGCATTCAAGCTATTTAGTCAATTAGTTTCCTGTGAGTACAAAATATATAGGAATCACTAAATGGAATAGCCTAATTACAAATTCTGTTCATTTCTAAGTAACTCACAACTCCAAGAAGTCTTTCTACAGAATTATTCAGTCACATAGTTTCTCACTATCCTTGGGTAGGTATTTCTGCTAAATTTTAAATCCATATTCAAAACAATTCCCTCCCAGTTCCATATTTTTATAAGTATAAAATATTTTTAAACAAAAAAATGTGTTCCTTAGCTAGAGAACTATTCCCCCACTGACTTCTAGAAGAGGAAAAAAAAAAAAAAAAGATTTCCATTTCCTCCTCAACCTCAAAACCACAAAGTAAACCCAAACAATCCAATTCCTAATGTAGAGTCGCACAGAACCCAGGGCCTGGAACAATATTTCATGCTAGTTTTCTTGCTATATGCTGAGAACAATTTAGTTATTTACATCATTAAGAAATCTATTTGACAGGCTGGATTCATTCCAGTGCTTCCATCAGCAGAGGCTTGCTAAAAATGT